TAAAATCTTAATTTTCGCTTGTATATACACTTTTCGAGTTTTCAAATCGCGGTGATGATGAATTATTATTCTTACAAGTGAATTAAAATTAAAAAAAAGGATTTTAATATATAATAAATTTGCGACACTTTTCCGATAGGTTAATACTTATTCTGACGATCGAATCTCTTATAAAATAAAAGATCTGATTTCTTTGAAAGATAATCATGCAATTATGTACAAGTATAATGACTAAGCTCATTTTAATCTTTAATTGAACTCTAACAAAATTGTATTTCATTTCTATTATTATCCCAGAAACATTTCATATGGGTAAAAACTGCTTCACAAAATGTATTCGAAGCAGAAATCCTAAATACCCATGTCGTGCATGTGACGAACATAGAGAATGTCATTTATGCCCGCCGGCATGATGGTGTCTCGTGTCATCTGCACATCCCTAGTCGTGAATTTCCTTCAGATACATTTCCTTATATAAGAGAAAGTGATCACACTTGAGCTGATGGAAACAAAGAGGGAGCGGTCACGCAATAGAATAATGAGACGTTCGTAAGGTCAATGCACGAAGATACAGATACAACGAACAGGACAACGTACATAAAGTGAACTACAACAGTAAATACCGTCAGATTACGGATCGATCGAAAACCGCTTGTCAAACCTTGAAACCATAGGAAATAACCGCACTTAACTGTAGATCACGAAAAACAATCGGGTTTGACTGGCGGTTTTTGCACGATATGGATGCAAAGTGAGCTAGTTGTTGTAAATTAGATACATGCTCATCATCAATCAGATAAGCCCATAACCCAAGTCGACGACTCCTGAAGCATGACTCCGTGGATTTCTGGTATTTATCTGTGGGGACCCACTCGGACTTCTCGGTCTGGGAAGCGATCTAATTTAATTAATTGATTTGCTTTTTTGATTTCTATGACATATAAGATCAATTAGTTCATTAGTATCAGAATTATTTTTAAAATCTGACTCATTACGTATACGGTCTTCTTGAGTAGCTCGTGTTGCTACTCGTCAAGTCATAAAAATCAGGTCGTTTTCTATCAGGGAGTTATTTTCAAAATCGAGACATTTGATGAGCCAGGTTTCTCTAATGATATATGAAACAAACATCACAAAAACTAACACACAAATAAGTAACTGCATAATTAATACTAATGTCAAATATTTATTGACTTTTTTGGCAAAAAACCCAAGTATCTGCACTATCGGTACATCCATCCAAATTAAGGCCAGTATAGAATTGACAGCGCAATGATGTAAAGCAATCAAGTAAAGCAAGTATTTTCGCTCGAGGGTACACTGTTTGATTGCCGGACTATGGTGCTCCATAGCTATACATATAACAATAATAATAATAAAAACAATAAGCATATTTCATACAATTTCAATTGATAACATCTTTTTCTTCATCACGCCATTCTTCGTTTTGAATGTTATGCCGATCAAATATATGTTTAGCTCTCTCGATAAGTTCCACTGAGACACAATTAAAACGTGATTCGTCTAAATCATGACGTGAAATAGAAAAAAAATGATGTTGGTGATGGATGTGCACCGAGTCGAAAAAACAATGAATTACGATCCCATGTTAATCTGCAAAAATCATTTGATGTTACAAAAGACCAATCATCACTATACAACGATGACAGAATATGTAATCTAAATTTAGCAAAAAAAAACAAATTAAGCTAATAAAACGAATAATTACATCAAGATTCACCACGGTATATATTCAGTGTCTGAAATCGACCAAGGATTTCCATAGAACTTAAATTCATAAAAGTCTATATGTTGTTTTTCTTTTTATATGCCTCTTGACCAAACGATATTAATAACTTTTCGAATAGTATCAATAATTGTTGGTGGAAACCGATATAATCGCAAACGATCATCCATATGCAATGTTCAACAAGCATGTTCATATATTGAATATAGCGGTGGACAATCATATGAAATATCAATTACTAGCTGTATTATTCTGTTCAGTTTTCGACATGACTATTCAATTGAAAATAAACTATTGTCAACCATATTTATTATTTAAACTTGAGTCATATTAAACTTGGCTCACAGTGTTAAAAAGAAAATCAAAGGAAGATAACTACAGAAAAAAGAACAAATTCACAAGTATCTTATCATTGACATCATGATAAACAAAAAAATGTAAAGAATATACATTATTTGATTTTGAAGATGAGTTAAATATGCTCATCTAAAGGATCAAAAAAAAATCTAAGAATAACAATTACTGTCATTTTTTCTTTAATCGACCAGCCATAATAATTAACTTAGGAATTACGCTGAGTTGTTCTCATCCGTTCATATATAATTGTGTTTTGTCGTCTAGACATTCACCAAATACACACTACGAATAGGTAATCGGAAACTAGAACTCTCACTCTAGTCTTCTGCAAAATATGTTAAATTTTTGCACTACTTTAGACAATTTTTACAGATTTTCAATTTTACTTTAACTTTATCGTATTTGGATCTATTTATTTTCTAGTCGGAAATCTTTTTTTTCGACTTCCTTCTACTCACTAACTAGAAATTATCTTATTTAAGATCGAATATCTCGCGAAGCATTAATAGAGTAATAAAGAAAATTACTAAAACTGTCAATATTCAACGCGTACAGACCCATTATTATATAAATGTCTTGCGTAAATTATCAAGCATATTACGAAAACATATTATCAAAATTAAATAGACAATCATCAACTATATAATAATTATTTCAAATGAATAAACGCTATGATGATTATCAGCGAGTTTTTTTTCTATGCTACTGGCGACCTACCCGAAATTAAAAACTTGTCAGTTTTTCATACTGCTGTTTCAAATTTGGACACTAATAGTATACTACTGTTTCTCAAGTTCATATGTCAATAATGTCAAGTATCAAGCAGGCATTTTTTCATTGAAAAAAACGAGAAATTATTCAAGAAATTCTATGTATCGATTTAAAATTGTTGACTCGTGCTTGATTAAGAGACTTACATTTTCAAATAGTTCTCGAATTTTCTCATTATAGAAAATGCTACAGGCAATATCATCATTTTTCTGACAGTCATGTCAATATCAACGAACTTATTTTAAGATGTTTTGTTCACGCAAAATAATTTAAGCACGACATGCATGCAATAAAAACAACATATTTTATAGTTTTTTGTTCTTTCTCCTCTACAAATTTCATTTTCACAGTTTTGCCTCATTGAATTGCTAATTGTCAACCACAATCATTAATCACAAGTACATCACAACGTGTAATTGAGAATTGCATGTTATTCGTTTTTCGTACGTATTTAATCCGCGTCTCCTACCAATAATCATTTAATTGAAGCTAGATTATTATTACATAGGTTCTGTGCAATCAGTGATCATTCTATAGAAAATTCTTTCACTGGCAAATGGTAACGGCTTATCATCTCGTTTTACGACGGTGAAATATGACCGAAATTAGAAGTCGTTTAGTCAAAAAGAGACTATAAGCTACAAACAAAACAAAAATGAGGCCTTAACGAATAGCAGAATTTTCATATGAAAAGCACAGTCACATGAACGATTATGATACTATATAAAATTCCCACATTCTCTTCAGTTTTATGATCGCAAACAAGTTTTAGATTATGTTCACCTATTTAAAAAGCAATATTGTTCACTAATGAAATCTCTTATTGTACATGTGTCTATAAAGACAAGAGGACAACTTGACTTTTTCTATTGATTTCGAAGGTCAATGCTTTTTTTTCTAAACATCGTCATCGTCGTCATCATCATCAATGAATGGCCAATGTTGAAATTAAATGCGAAAAGAAAAGAAACGATAATGACAGTATTGATGACCTTCTGATTGAAACAATGACAGATTCGTAAACATATTTAGAATATAGATTAGATGCAAATAGTCTATAGACAATGTCTGTCAATCTGGTTTCTCCTCTCACATTAAAATAAATTTTCGAGGCGGTGAGTTCAATATTAATCATTAAGACCAAATACTGATTATCATGTTGTTGTTTATCAAGCATGATCATCACGACTTAGACACGTGTATATGCGCGTCTATCGATTTATTCATTAGACTCAGCGAATAAATAGACGCGTGTAAATTAAAGAACTTTAATTTGGTTTCTATAATAAATAAATCGATATATACATGTATTTATATATAGATAGATTGAAAAAGAAAAAAAAACTAAAATTTCAAATTGAATCTTTTGAACATAGGTACGCATAAGCCGACATCATGCAGATTTCATCAGTCACAGTTACTTGCACAATGAAGAGAGAAAGACCTTGTTATATTCTCATTATCGTATTCTCTCTGCGTGAGAGTAATTGCTTGTCTCCAATGAATAAGTATGTTTGATCAAACTATTGGGTGTGTCCCATCAAAATATTTTAAAAACATAACAGCACGACAACAAATCGGTTTTCAATGACATACTAGTAAAGCTTTCAATGTATATATATATATATGTGAGCATACCACACACACCAGTATACGTATATAGTATGTATAGGTTGTTTCGTTATATTTCTAAATGACCGGACATCTGCCGTTGTGTTTTCTTCTTTCTCAGTATAATCCAGTCTTTTCTTTTCTACATCAATTATGAGTAGTGCAACAAATAGCTTTGTGTCATTTAGAACGACTAATTGAATGGTCTGAGAAAAGGGCTAAAGAAATGGTCAACTTATTTTACTATCGTCTCGCATCTCTAATACACGCAATACGGATTATACTTATTGTGGCACACATGAGGGATAGACCAGCACGTATAAATGCTCAATCTCTTCTATGTTGACCTTTCGCAAAAAAACTATCAGGGAAAAATAGAAACATTAACATTCCATTGTTAATATTAGCTAGATTAAAACAAAAATTTAATGATCCACATCGATCGACTGTTCATTTTTTTTTTGTAAGAAACATATACACACAGAAACGCACACACAAAAACAAACTTGTTACATCAAACATATGAAGCACAATGGTCTGAATTTATCTGTGATTCATATAAATTTTCAAAACGCTTTAAAATTCCATCAATACTATGATTATTCTCATTAAATCGAACATTTTTCGATAATAATTTTGAATTTGCTATTAATGTTAACGATGATGGATTAAGTAGAAGAATATTATTGGATTGTTCGGATGACATATCACTTGAACAATAACAACCATCATCGGAACTCATTTTAATTCCGACATCATTCGTTGATATTGGACTACTTGTTGTTGATAATGATTGTTGTATATCTAAAGATATTTCATTAGTATGCAAATGATTTATTTCATCGGTGTATGCTGATGATTGCTGTTGTTGTTGCGGTTTGACTGGTAGATAATATGTATTTGGAAACATATTTACAGCATCGTAAGCGGTTTTCTGTTGAAAATCATTTGATGAATTAATTGTTGATGTTGATGAAAATTTTTTTTCATTAAAATTTCCACTTTTACATCGTTTAATTTTATAATTAACACAACATATTAAACATATTAATAGGGAAAGAAATACTAAGCAAGAACCTAATACACTTGATAATATTAATATATTTGCAGAAGTATGCTCTATTTTTAACCATGAAAAAGAGCTTAGCTTCGGTGATTTCATTGACATTAATTGTATTTTTACTAATATTGTTGATGATAATGATGGTTTACCGTGATCGCGTGCAACAACAATTATATCATAACGTTCATCATTATAGAAATTTTTAATACATTCAATTGAACCTGTTGCTTCATTTATACGAAATAAATCTTGATAATTTGATAATGAATATGATATTCGACTATTATCGGTATTGACTTCATCGCAGTCATATGCTTGAATAGTAAAATTCGTTTGATTAGGTATTAATATTGTGTGATATATTGTTTGATTAAATGATGGCGTACAATCATTTATATCGAGTATGCGAATACGAATAGGTTTGAAAATTTTTTCATACGGCGGAATAAGATGTTGAGCATCAATAGAAAAATTATAGAAGTTTTCACGTTCACGATCAAGTACTTGTGTTGTTATTAATGAATAGGATATGCCATTTTGTTGTATTTTAAAATCTTTATTTGTTGTATTTAATAACCATTCGTTTAGGATTATATTTGTATCATTAACTAAATTTATAAATGCAATAAAACTACCGATTGTTTTACCCTCGGTGATTTCAACAGCCGAATCATGTAATGATTGATGAAAAAATTGTGGATAACGAATATCAATTGAAATCGTGGATATATAAGGAATAAATATAAGAAAAAATATTCTTGTCATTTTCATCTAGAATAGGGCAATACGACAATGTTCGTATATCTGATCCACATGAAGGAGAAGTAACAGAGAACGAGAGAGAACAGCTATGTACTTCTTTTTTTTCTCTTTCTCTCCCTCTTTCTCTCTATCTCTCTTGTTCTTGTTCGCTGATCGATTATTCTTTTTTTGTGTGATTTTGGAGCGAAAGAGAGAGAGAGAGAGAGAGAAAAAAGTAGCAAACTAAAGGATGTCTAATCTTGAAATACTATAAAAATCGGCTGGTTCGATTTCTTCTTTTTTTGTTCCACCCGTCTTATGAACAATAGACTAATTTATGAGACAGAAAGACTGATGTAAAGAAACATCTTGAGACGAATGCACACGTATACAACGATATCATGATCTTTTAATTCATCTAGAATTGTGCATGAATGCACAAACGAGCTCTGGATGAATGAATGAACAAAAATAAGAATCCCTATTGTTAACAATTCTAACTAGCATTTCATTCGATGGAACTAGGCTCTTATTAATCATTTAATTGCTCTCCTCTCATCTAACTGGGCTATCGAGAGCGAGAGAAAAACAAAATGGCTGTATATACTGCGCAGTTGTAATAACGTATAAATTCTTTTGCATACTGCCAACGAATTTTTTTTTTCTTTCCATCAAATATACAAATTCAGCATAAAAGAAAATTTATAAGATCTCATGCTAAGTTATCATCCGTAAATAATTCCGTTACTAATGCATGTAAGTGGATTGATAACAATTTGTGTGTCAAACTCATTAGACGAAGAAAACAAACTCAACGACAAACTTTCGCTTGGCATGATAATTCTATTTGAGTAAAATAAAATACATAGGAACATTTCTTTTTTTTGCGTTGTTATGCAATTTTTCTTCGTGCATGAGATAAACTTATTGCACTGTAGTTTATTCGATTACAAATGAGATTAGATATTCATTTGTGAACAATCCTCAGGAAAAAGAGAAGATAATTGACTTATGGATGTTGTCTCCACCCTCATACATATCATTTTCTTACTCTATTCTCATTTCATAATTTTTGTCGAGATTAAAGTAAAAGTTTGACTTACGATTAACGTTTCTAATGAGAAAGTCTCTCACACTTGAAGATCAACTTATTTTATATTGAGAATAATGTAAATACAAAGCGTTTGTTTACGTTAAGTTATAGTGTCGGCCCCTCAAGGTTATCGATCAGATAAATTATCAACTATTTGTCATCATCAATTATAAAACAGTAGCTTTACCTGTTTCCTATTGTTTTTGTGTTCAATTCGATCATTCATCAATATGCGTCTTTTAAGTACGGGTGTGAAAATGATTCATAGAAGGAAATCTTTTCATTGTATTTGTCACATCGAATAAGCTCGAGGCGAGAAAACAAATTAACAAACTACAAGTTTGTATACAAGTCGGCAAATATCAACTTAAAAAAAAAAGAAAGACCGAAGTAGGAGTTCGAACACGCGTGGAATTAAGAAAAGAGAAAGACAAATTAATGTACAGACAAACCTCCTTTCTCTTTTCTTTTTCTTTTTTTTTCTTTTTGAAAAGTCTAGTCGTTATCGACATTTTGATGTATCAAATGGTGGGCGGATGGAAAATTCTACACGTAACAAGATTGAACTCACATACAGTAGGAAAAAAAAGGAAAAAGAATTTTTTTATAATTGTCTCGTTGTCATTATGCACGCGTCTAAGCAGAAATCGGAAGGTATGATGTAATCATATGTTACTCGCTTAGTTCAGTCCTATGTTCAAATGAGATATGTCGTGCCACTTTTCTATTTTTTTCTTAAAATGATTACTTGTATTTCAGACTCGTATCCAGGAAGTGCATTGACCCGAATGCGACAAGATGCGGATACCTTACTCTCGTTGTACAGACAGAAAGCGAGAAGACATGTAGGTTCCTTTGAAATGAGTTAATCATCTTCAATGTATGATGTTGTACGTGCTTGTTCTCTCATCAGGTCAAACGGAATACATATAAATATAATCGTTTAATATATGCCATTATATCGTATCTAGTAAACAACGAGTTATCTAATACGAATGTAACAGATTATTAAATCGAATAGATTATAATGATTTATTTTTAGACAGTTTAGCTATTTGAAAGCTTTCACGGAAATCAAAAGAAGAGAAAGAGGCATATGATGATAAAGTAAGTAGGCAAGCAATTAAATGAAAAGTAATCGTGCGTATATGATGTAAGTTGAAAGTACTTGAACTGAAATATTGTTCAAATAGATTATACTTAAAGCTTGTATAATCTTTCAAGAATTGAACATGTTGAAAGATAAATGACTGTGATCAAATGCTTTTAAATCGCTATTTTCTTTTTCTAGCGGTACACTTCGATATATGCATAAAAAAACGTTTTTCACACACTTGAAACTTTGTTTTTTTTCTCTTTGTAAGTCACTTAATGTCAGTAATGAATGATAATTTTTAAGGAATTTCTTTTGTCTGATGAAAGTGTGTGAATTTTTTCTGGCTCTCTCTTCTGGCAGACGTTCCATATATGTGTGTGTGTGTTATTATCAAACGAACAAATCTAATTAAGATGACAGGAGAAAGTAGAGGTGCGACAAGTTTCTATAAGTATCTACAGGAAATTGGCAAAACATATTTCCGTCTTGAAGTTACATCAAAGGACATAGCGGTATCGGCGTCGATCAGTTAAGAGAGTCATTTCCATATGTAGATGAACTGTACTGCATATACTATGCCGCCTTCAAGCTGGTGTGTGTTGCGCGGTTGATAACTATTACGAAACATTTCTGCCAAACAACATATTGTGTTGTTTTTCTATTATCTTATGTTGCTTAGTAGTACAATTATATGTATATGTAAAGTTGTAACAACAAAATCATTAGGAAAAAGAAAAGCATTTGTCAATCATAAAAAGAATAGATGTTCAAATGTGTCCTTTTCCCCTTTTTTGCTTTCTTGCGTAATGAACTATACAAAAGAGATAATTCGTCCTCGGACACGACAGGTGGTCATCAGATTTTTTTTTTGAAATAATCTATATTTAAATAAACGTAGATGTTAGCGAAACAGCTGGACTTAAAGATGATGATGTCATTGATTGTTTTATCTATTCTCGTTTTCTTTTTTGTTATAAACTAATTTGTCAAAAAAGCAACGCGTGCTATTGTCTTTCAATAAAATGGTACGATATAGCACGATTATATAGATCGACTTGTCGTGTCATGCTACGTGTGAATATTGAGTTGACAAATGTAAAAGAATAATAGAAGTACTGGTACCACTTTATTTTGCTAAGAAAAATGTACGATACAGTCGTGTTCGATTGTCAATAGCGATGAAATGCATCACTTGAGTAAAAGTAAACTAAAAGCATAATCAGTAAGTGCAAATATTCAACAACCATCGTCATGAATTGATATTCAATTTTTTTATTCTCACATCATATGTGACAAATAACAACACTTACATGGCTTTCAGACGATTATTCAGTTTATTAAAATAACATTCGATATGCTTATCATATCGAATGTAATGTTTTCTTTCAAAATATAATTCAGCTATTGTAATTTTAATGACTGTACAAATTCACAAAGAAACGAAAGATATTATGAACGACGAAATTTGAAATTATTCATTAAGCATACTAAAAGAACAACATTCTAAAGTTACGTTGATGTCGACGTTGCAGAATGTAATACATGACTGATGGTTATTTTAAAAAGCTATTTCAAATATCAATATCTGAAGGTTGATTACGAAAAGAATATCACGAGATCTGGAAAAGAGCGATGCACTTGATTAAATCGATCATTGAAAAAGTGTTCTTGAAAAATTTAACGGGCAGGTTGAAGAGAAAATTTTGGCATTAAAACATTCCGGTTTTGAAATAATAATGCATATTATTTTTGCTGACTATGACCCTATGTGAAAGGTATATATGCTTAGTTCAAGTCCATGTTTCTTAGTTTCAACTAAATGAGTAGCTATATCGTTGATTATGCTCATCAAGGTTCGCAAAGTATGTAAAAGAACAATTAATAAATAAGAGGAACGAATTGAGAAGATGCCATTTTGTCTCTGTAATTATAAGTACGGTTACAGATTATCTTACAACGATTATATTTAAATTAGCAAATGTTAATCGATACTGTAGACAGAGGAAATTCTCCAGCAATTCAGAAACGAATTCCAATGATCAGTTCTCGGTAGCCGCTGATGTAAGATCTTAAAAGTATTAATATAAACGGATGACTTTGTTCTAGACATTAAAATACTATAATTTTGTAAGAAAAACAGCTCCAAGAAATGTGCCACGACTCATTAATTTTAAAAAACTTGAAGCTACGCAAGTCATTCATTATTTTATTAAATGATAGTTCACTTTTCAGTAGTACTATTGTCTTTGTAATGATCATATTCCGACGGAGTTCGATTCAGTTTAGTTCTTAATATCGCCTTATTATTATCTTTTTTCCTTGACCATGTTCATTTCTTTGTCGATGTTATTGATGTGTCACTCTACTTTGTTATATTCAAGGATTCAACTGAGGAAGAAACTAATTGTCTTACCTTAAGATTGATAAGTTTCAACATGTGTGCAATAGTTGATGTATTTTATCCAACTGTAAGTGCAATGATAATGATATTTTTTTCAAGACGAGACCATCGTCTTTCATGGTAATATTTCTCTGTAAAGATGAAAAATGATATCAGCATATGAACGTATTACAAGCACTATTTTCCAAGGGAAAACAAATTGCTTTCTGATGGAACTTTTTGGTTTGGTTTCATATTTCCGATACATGCTGCGAATGAAGGTAAATAGTCGTCATAAAAGCTCTAATATCTCGTTGATATATCGCATAAAACAATGCATTGACAGTAATAAGTTATTTAACTAAAATCTTCATCTTAGAAGGGCTCTTTTGAAGTAATTTAAATAGATTGTCATTCACAAGATTTCATTCATTGAAAAAATTCTTCTAACTTTTAAGAATATCATTCTTATTAAATTATATTTATTAGTGAATTTTCATACAAATAAAATGACTAGATTATCTGACATTACAAAAGACTAGAAAAAACAATTGATTCATAAAGGTGCGATACGTGTTGTACTTAACATTTTTTGTTCATCTGTTATACTCGGTACAAAAACACAAGTTGACCATGTGTTCGTAAGAAAGAAATGGTGATCTAATAAAAATTTATAACCATCATTTTGAAAACGCGAACAAACTGCATGCAACGCTTGATACTGTGTTTCTTCAGTTATGACTCGACGACATATTTGTAAAAGATTGTGACCTATTTTTTCGTGGCGAAAATTCTTTGTCACAAATAGATGTGTTATTAATGCTGATTGCCGTTCAGATGGATGAGAAGCAAAACAAATAAATCCAAGGATATCTTGTTCATGCATAACATCATTATCATCTTCAACAGTTGTAACAGCAACAAGTATACGTCGTCGGGATATTTTATCGGTGTATTCAATATATGAATGTTGAAATGGTGCTTTTATTTTATGTTTTAATTTTGTAATGCGATAAGTTATGAATGAAGTTATCAATGCTGGCGGTATTAGAAATGAGACGAGAAGACGAGAAAAAATAAACATTGAAAGAATAATGCAAATAAGTAGAAGAATAAATGTAAAACGATTACGAAAACAAGCACGAGACAATGGCGTGAGAATTTCGACACGTTCTTCAGTGCATAAACGTTGAATATCAAAACGATCCGACAGTGAAAAATTACGAATACGATAAGATGTACGACCAGATTTGCTCTTTAGAATACTGCTTTTTATTGCCGAAACAGGCTCCATATGTTCTTATCAAGTTAATTGAAAAAAATTCTAGAATCAAACCTAGGCAAATTATTATAACATAAAAAAGAAGACCCTTGAGCTAGAACACATAAATATTCCATAGTTTACTTTTTTTAACGAAACGCTAACTTTACAACGAAAAATTATAGTACGAATCAGTCGATCGTTGACATGCACTATTGATTAATCAGATTATATCCTGAATAGAGATTAGCAGCGATAATTTCTAATCTCAATCTTGTTGATGGCAACAGCGAGGAAAAAAAGTTATGTCAATCAGAATAAAAGATGCCAGTTACATAATCCATGATTGTAAGACAATTCTCTTGTAGATTAAAAATCAGTTCATCATGAACTCAAATATGTGAATGAATACAATCTGTGTCGAACAAGAAGAAAAATACATGATAGATAATTGCTACTTTTTTTTTTAATATCTCTTCGGTTTATTATTTGAATTAACCTAAATACAAGAATTTTCCTTTTGGTAATTAAGAAGGCCTTGCTATTTCTATTAACAGTCGTTTTACAGGAGAAAATGTCATCTGAAAAGTTGATATGAATACTCAAACTTTATACACAAACATAATGCCAGGGATACTCTTTTCTCGACATAAGCATCAATCAATGTCAAAGTTTAGAGCTTACAAAAACTTTCGTAAGTCATAATCACTGCATTAATAAATGATTAACCATAAAAAATATTAATAATCTTTATCTAGAATTAAAGAGAAATTTTATTTTAAGATTATCGACGATAACTAATAGAAACAAAAACAATTGAATACATGCCGAAAGATCTCTTCGGTTTTTGTTTTTACTTATTTAATTAGCAACTTTAGGTACATGATCATTAAGTGAATATACAGCTGAATTTAAAACATCAACAATTCGATTTAAAAATGAATAAAGTTTTAGACTTGTCTTTTCACGTTGTTGCTTTTGCTCTTCGAGTATAACACGAAGTGTTTCACGTGCTTGGTGTGGTCGTAATTCATTGATTAGATGATGAATATTAATGAAAAGTAATTCGATTTCATGTAATTTTTGTTCACGTAATGGTATATTGCCACTATCAGGAGATTGAGTTGTAGTTGAACGTGAAACAATTTGTAATAGATCAAGATAATTTGTTAATATAGCAAAACATAATTTTTTCAATTCACCTTTATAATCATCAGGGCGCATATAGACACGTTGAATTTGTTGAGTTGCTAACGAACGAATAATTGGTTCGGTATGATCAATACCATTTACATAGAGACCAAATAATTCATAAGGACCCTATAGAATAAGAGAAATATTCAATAAATCAATTGATATCAAGAAAATATTTACTTCAATGGGTGGAGGTGGTTGTAATATTTTACTATTTTGACGAATACTATCATCACTGAATAGTTCAATATAACCCATAGGTGGCAATGGAAATGCACTACTCAAGAGTGGTGGTGGATCCATGAATAGTGTATCTGAAATGCTCAATAATCAAAATGATTAGACGATCACGATCGGTCGCTATTGCTGTAAAACAAAACTATTGTTATTTACACACGCAGTTTTGATTCGATGTTTAATTGATTGTCGCTACTTGCAATTTAGTAATGCAAGCGCCACATGGTAGGTGTCAAAATTACAGGGGAATAGTCACTTATAGTTAGTCGTAGATCTAAGATATAGAGAAAAAATGAAGATCATGGTTACAAGAAATATGTTTCGAAGGTCGTCTCGCTGCATTTAAACTAATATCAATATTGTTATATTTGCCAAAACTATCCTGATATTGAAGTAGGATTTCTTTGGCTAGATATTAATCCGACATAGTTTGTTAAAACTAGACTCGTATAAAGAGAAAAAAAGAAAAATATCATTTCATTCATCATTGTCGTTTTCTAATTAATATTGCTAACTAAGGTAAAATAGTTAATAAAAATGTTGTCAATCGTTGTAAGAATGTTTTCTTTTACCATTTCGACAATTACCATGTACGCAATTCATAGATAAATCAAATTGTTTTACAGTTAAAGCATCCTTTTCAAATGGATACAATGCTCCAAGTTCATGTGCAGCTGCTAAACCAGATATACAAGCTATTTCATGTGTACTAAACATGGTATAGGCTCCAGCATAAAATATAGTTGGATTTTCTTTTTGAAGAAAACGCAATAATGGAACAGTAAATAAAAAATGTTGCCAAACATGAGCAAATTGTCTCCACCAACGTTCATGTAGAATTTTTTTCTTATCTATTCTGTTGATTGTCCATTTATTTGATTCTAATTTATTTAAAAATAATGTTTGAAACATATTTATGTTCGGATATTTTTCACGTTTTAATGCAATTAGATGTGGTTGGTGATTCGATAGATTCTAATGGCATTTCTAATGGTTGACGAGAATCTTTCATATTCGAATGAATAAAATATTGATCAAATTCAAAATGAACATTATAATGCGTCTTCATATAATCAAGATCTGTATGCATATAAGTAACATCGTCAAAATATCGAATATTTCCAAGTACGGCTTGTTGAATTTTACTTGGGTTTTCAAAAATTTTCAGAACTGTTTCAGCATCACATGCAAAAATAATAAAATCAAATGAACCATTGAATTGATCGGAATCTGTATAAACGTTTGTTAATGTAACTTTTCGAGTCGATTGATTAAAATAAAATTTTGTTTGACTATGACTTCATTCAATACATTTATCAACTAATGATTCATATATTTTTGCCTAGCTTATCAAATGTAAAAATATCAGCTTGAGAAGCAAGCAGAAGTTGTGTGTTATAATCGAATAATTTCAAGTCCGGATCGCGAAATGTACGTGCTATTAATGCCGAACTGACATTTTTGTTTGGTTACCTGTACCGAAAAAAAAAGAGTTGTCAATGGGTAGAGCATAGCATTTGTAAAACACGATGATAGACAGAAAAGACGAGCTGTTAACCAAATAGGTATGCAAATAAAAATTGGTTCAAGCCAAGATATTAATTTTAAAAGCCAGCCAAATCGTTTAATTTCAGATTCGAGTTTTTGCATTTCGATACCATTTGTATTCGAAGGTAAACAATTAGTTCATGCATGGGAATTTTGTCCAAATGAAGTACGCATTTGTACGGGACTTGGATCGAAATCAACTTGTCGATGAAGTAATGTTGAATTTCGATAGCTTGAAGAGCCACCTTGAACACCATCGTTGATGTCACAATGGAGGCCAGACATTAATTCGACTTTTTCAGTTGTTGCAACACCACCTACTTGAGATTTTTTTCATAGACTATTACCTCGAATTTATTGGGATATCGAGATAATGACCAAGCAGATGACATACCAGCTGTACCAGCACCAATAATGCATACTTTCTTTTTTTTTTCATTACGTAAAATTGAAATTCTAGATTAAGCAAACTCAAGATAAGCAAATGTAGTTATCATCTTTCAACAAATAGAAATTAATTCATGTTCATAAAAGAAATGAAGTCACTTCTAAAGAAGTAAACTAAATTCATTCTATCGTGACTATTTAAAAAATCCCTAATGCAAGATTATTTTTCTATTTATCACTTTTCAAAACGTTCGACTAGTGTTATAGAATTAAGGAAGAATGCGATAAAAATTTAATAGCATAATATAAGGTCCTACTTATGAGTACGAATTTACTAATAGAAGACAATCAATAATTTTTTCTTAAAAATAAAAATATTTGGATTTCTAACAAATCAAATCGATTCATACGATCTTTCTTTTTTTTCTGTCATCCAATCTACATCCGTAGAATATTCGTCAGCTGTTTGTTTTGAGTTAATAATGCATCTAGTTACAACAGTAGCGACACTCTTTTCATTTGAGCTATGATGAAGAATTTGTACTTTAATAATGTCGACTGTCAGTGTGTGACTGACATGAGCTTCGTGCAATGAGTCATTCAATTGGCAACACGATGAGAAAGCAAAAATAACAGTGCTGCAATGAATTCACTTTTTATATCCATTTTCAGATTAGACTTTGTATCGATTAAACAAAATGTTCGGATTCGTTCAACGTATTCTTGACTGGTTCAAAAGTTTATTTTGGAAAGAAGAAATGGAATTAACACTTGTTGGCCTACAAAATTCTGGAAAAACAACATTTGTGAATTTAATTGCGTCAGGTCAATATTCTGAAGATATGATACCAACTGTAGGTTTTAATATGAGAAAAATTACCAAAGGAAATGTAACAATTAAAGTAAGCTTTGATTTTGTTATCCTACGTACTTTATTAGAATTTTTTCTTGTTATTAGATATGGGATATTGGTATGCATTAAGTTTATTTGTATTTTTAACTTTTTGTTGTTTTCATTTTGAATATTCTTAGGTGGTCAACCTCGTTTTCGTGGCATGTGGGAACGTTATTGCCGTGGTGTCAATGCAATTGTGTACGGATAGATAGAATTATATGTGATTAGACTTCTTATCGTTTGTTTTCTTTAAATAGATTTATGGTAGATGCAGCAGATCATGAAAAACTTGATGCAGCAAAACAAGAATTTTGTAATCTTCTTGAGAAACCCCAACTACAAGGTATTCCTGTACTTGTACTTGGCAATAAACGTGATTTACCAAATGCACTGGAAGTACAAGAGCTCATTCAAAGATTGTAATTTAATCAATAGATAAAAAAAATGACTTCTTCCATTTTAACTTGTGCTTCGATTCATATTTTAGGGATCTTTCTCCAATAAAAGATCGAGAAATTTGTTGCTATTCTATATCATGCAAAGAAAAGGAAAATATTGGTAAATAGAAAGATCATATAAATATGTTGGCTCATTGATTTCATTTTATACTTTAGATATAACACTTCAATGGCTTATTCAACATTCGAAGTCTAACAGTCGTTCATAAATACGAATCAGTCATCGCATTTCAATAAAAACAAAAAATAAACTTCTGTCTATATTGGCAATGATACAAGCTTTTATTTATTTTTCCTTCATTCCAAAACAATAACTCTTTATTCTTTTCATAGACTTTGTCCTATCTGTATAACTTAATTTCTCTTTTTTTTGTTCTTTTCTCTAATGCGTACGTTTGTCAGTGTTGGTGTCTATTTGTTTATTAATTGTATGTTGACTTTTATTGGTAAAGAGGAAAACAAGAAGGAGAAATATTAATATTATGTTCGTTTGTAAACTGATTTATTCTTAATCGTAGAACTTGATAAAAAGTTTAAAAAACAAATAGTGAAACTGTCATGTCATATTTCAAATCTACAATTAACACGTGTTACAAGCATATCAGTTTGAGTTCGTGTTATAGAATGATATCGCGCAAAATAAAACTTAAACACCTTTATCAAACGGACGCCATTGTAACAAGACTGACTAATATATTTGAATTAGTTTTGAAATCTTTGAGGATCGGTTTCATAGATACTTTTGCACTTTGATATTACAATTATCTATTGTAGTTATACTAATTGAAAGAAATCGATAAAATACTGAATAAAGATACTGCAAGAATCTAATTCAATACTTAGGGACCAAGACGCTGATAAGGCAAAATTATCAGCAGTGTCACATATCCAAAATTTTGGAGATGCCATCACATCTCTAAGGGAGATCTTACATCCCCAGTAGTGAATGACCAGATCTCCCGACTGTGGGTGTCACGTCTCCAACGAGAGACGCGGCATCTCCTGTGGGAGATGTGGTGGCATCTCCAAAATTTTGGATACGTGATACCACTCTCGTTACCCGAAAATTTGAATTGATTTCGTGTGAGTTAGTCGTTACATGAGCATGCACATACTTGACTCTATGTTTTGGTATATTAGCATGTTTCCATTCGGAATCTGGCTACTTCGCTATTATTTCTGACGTTGCAATATGAAGGAAGATGATGTACACTAATGTGTCATACTTTAGTCTTCAGAGAAATAAACACTCAAGCAAAACATAAAAAATGGTCTTCATCCAAAACCGGATTTCGTATGGCTACACTGTTCGTGCGACTCACAACTAATTTTTGTGAGCACCCACAACCATGGCCTTGAGTTGTATGTCCCTGCTTGTTCTTGTATCACATCTACACCTGAAATGCTACGGACATCTTCTAGGATGGTACATATTATTCATGAATCTCAGAGAAATCTAATTTTCACAGATTCTTATGGTTTAATCTGTATTTTCAAATTAATCAACATTAGATTTTAAATTTTCATTCGAAATTGAGTAGATTTAAACGTATTGAAAGGGTCACCTCTACCACATGTCACAATAATAAAATATCTCAAGCACTCAGTTTCAATGACCTCCTCATAATAAGGGCTGCCATTTTTCATTTTTCAAATGGGGTGCATTCGTTTTCAGAACGGGATACATAAGTGGGGTACATTGCCTGCCTCATAAAATACAGGATTTAATTGAGAAAACCGATAAAATAAACACCACCATTAGAAATAGAAAAGCTGTTAGCGCAATCCCTCTGGGACTAAAAATGTGAAACACGACATAATCACTGCAAGAAATCACGTGGATATGGTGTACTCAAGGGAGTTATTTGTAGATTTGATGAGACAGCTGGTTTGCCGCTACCAGTGATGATCTGCGCTAGGGTGGAACAGAGTCTCTGATGGGCTGTGCTAGATCTGAAGATAGTCTGTCATGCTGTGTGCTGGTCTCTGAAGATCTTGTGTAACAGTCTGTGATGGCCACTCAATTCATATGGTACTAATTAGCCAATTAATTAAAGCGTATGCCACAATCTGTAGTCGATTCTGAAGATCCTCTATCACGTTCTGTGATGGGAAAATTACCTGTCGGTAACGATCTGTGGGGCGGGGGGGGGGGGGGTGTGGACGGAAAACCCACC